GGAATATGGCTAAAAGCCATGTTCTTCTATCCCTGGCTTATATACATACATATAAACACATTTTGTTATAAGAAGTATGAATTATTTATTAAAATAAGGATTGATAAATGTAAAATAAATGCTGTATTTAGGTGACAACCAGGCACTCTAATAATTCATAAAAGGGGTATGAAAAGGCTATTAATTAATATTTTATTGCCCTGTAAGTGCCACATTTTAAAAGATCAACACAAATAATAGATTTACATCCAAAATGTAAAACATTAAGCTGCAAAAAACACATTTACAACATATCCATTTTGGGGTGTGGACTCGTTTAGAAGAAATGTCATAGGATTACATGTTTGACCATAAACAAAAAGTCTTAGAAATCCTTAAAATCTTATATGTAACTATTTGTTTGTGTCAAATAAAATGCTCGGTTACTATTCAAGCACAAAATCAAATTACTGCTAATTTGGAGTCAACAAATGTTCAATTGAATATCCAAATATCATCTTCAAGAAAAGGGGTGAAATTATGATACTTTCTTCCCGTCTAACCTTTATAATGCAGAAAAAGTAAAAATCATACATCAAAATATTTTCCACTTATTTTGAAAAGTAAATAAACACTGAAAATCACAAAATTTTGACTAAAATCAAAATTTCTCCTCCCAAATTTGTCAAATATTTTTGAAATTTTACCATTTCACATTTTTTACTATCAAAATGCCATATATCACATTTTCTGACAATTTGGAGATCATATCATCAAATTTTCATTGGGCTGAAAGCTTTTCACTACAGAGGAACAAATGGTCATGTCTTTGCACTAAAATTTGTATGAGGTTGACCACCAAAATTTTGAGATACACAAACTTGAAGAAGCATACTAAAATCATGTAACTAGTTGCCGTACATATCACTGTAGCTAATCTGATAACCCTCTTATCCTTCCGCCTCAAAATCATGAATATTTACCAAAACCTGGCAGAAAATGTTAATTCAAACCCTCTTCGTCCATTCTAGACCAAAAAGTCAACAAAAATGGGCATGCAAAAGGAGAGAAAAGAGAGAGAGAATTGCTATAAATAGACGAACTACAATATGTGGGTACCAAGATTAGGGTGACCCACCATAAATAAATATCTCCATATATCTCGACAATTACGCCACAATATTTATATATATGCCAAGCCTCAAAATCAGTTTCACACAATTATAGTCACTAAATAAACGATCATGTTGTACTTAATAAGCTATGACCATTAATCATGTATAAATAATAGACTGAAAACTGGTTCCAAGAGTCGTCCATAACATCCAGACACTTTTGAGTAAAAGATAGGTTACGTGCCCTTGTTTTGAAATTAGTCTCGCTTAACCAGTCTATCGACCATTCTACGTCTGATTGACAGGTCGGGATAATCAAGACTACTTTTTTACGAAACGTAACAGAAAGCTAGAACAAGAAATTGGATTTAGAAATAAGCACGTTAGGTAGCTCAACAATCGTTTTAAGAAGCTTGTAAAAGTAAAATGAAACTACTGCTAGTATCATGTTCCTGCCTAACCCGAGTGATTCAGAGATATTATTTGTACTAAACCAAAAGATGCCGCTCTTAACGGTACAGTTAATGATAAAGCGATTTCAAAAATGAAACGAACGTAATTTCTAAATCTGCTGTAATAACCAAGCTTAATTTAACTGCTATTCAAAATCGTCAACAATAAATTTTTTACGGCTGTAATAGTTGATAGATTTGTAGAGAATTGCACGTGCCATGGCTATTTATAGTATCATACTGTCAGAAAGTTGATCTCGGCACGGCGAATGTGCACGCTTCAGTGGTAGTCTCGAACTATCAGCGGTGGACTGTATTTCTGTGAGCACATGGGTCACCCTACCAAGATGATGAAATTTAATGGTGGTCTGCCTCCATAATATGAGACTTTGAGAGGGTATAAACAATGTAGAACTATACCAATTTTAAATTCATTTAGTTATGACACCAAACTACAGAATGAGATCAATAAGGGCGATGAATCGTTCGCCCAATCCCCAAAGGTTCCTCCTACTTCCTAACACAAAACCGGTGATTTGGAACTGCTGTTATGCACCAACTGTGCTAATGAAGACGGGCATACGTCATGAAGTGTGCAATGTCGGGGGATTTTGTACGGATAGGGGCACTATGGCCTACTCTTGGTCACGCCATTGGGTTTTTGTCCCATTAAGACACTGTTCCTTAAAAAAACAATAGTCTGAAACAGTGATGGGATTTCAAAATTTTTCTTGCTGGACATTTTTACCGAAAATAAAGGGACATAACTCTTATCGTTATTTAAGATGGCAGTTTTTAGACCACACACAAAAATCACACTTAAACAAAATATTCAAATTCGTAATAAAAAAAAATAGGTGCACCTCGTTATTTTTCATATTTAATTCCCGAACAGTATTCAAATTTATGTCAGTAACATTCCTACAAAATTCGTAATACGATAGAATGAAAGCGTGCCGACTACTGCCGATCTGTACTGTTTCAAATTCCTACAAAATTACCGTATTTTTCGGGTCATAAGTCACTACATTTTTCAGCAAAAGTCGGTCACTCGTCTTATACCCCGTTACAACTTATGTACAGAGGGTAAGAAAATTATATCCCAAAATTTTTTGGGCAATAAACGTCGCTCTACCACAACGAGCGAATGACACCATCCGCTAAATAATTGTATTGTACTCTAGCACACACTATCGTCTAAAACAATTAAGTACTAACACTATTCCAATCGACATATTCGTCAACATTGCCTAGATTACTTTTTATAAGCCCACATGGAAATGTGGTCGTATATTGCCGTCGGTCTGTCCGTCCATCGTCCACAATTTCTTGTGAACACTCTACATACTACATTTATCAACCGATTGTTTTGAAATTGATATATGTTGTTTGCATTAGTGAGATGAAGAAGCCTATTTAATTTCAATAACTTCCGTTAATTTTTTCTGGAGTTATGGCCCTTGTTTCACTTTGTGAACGCTCTAACGACTCAAGTTATCAACCGATCTGTATGAAATTTATATGCATTATTTAAATTAGTAAAACAAAGAAGCCTATTGAATTTCAGCAATTTCCGTATATTACATCTAGAGTTATGGCCCTTGTTTCACTTTGTTGAATCTTGTGAACGCTCTAATGACAACAGTTATCATCCGATCTGTTTGAAATTGATATGCATCATTTAAATTAGTGAAATGAAGAAGCCTATTGAATTTCAGCAATTTCCGTTCATTTCTTCTGAAGTTATGGCCCTTGTTTCACTTTGTTGCACCTTGTGAACGCTCTCACGACAAAAGTTATCAACTGATCTGTATGAAATTATATGCATCATTTAAATTAATAAAACAAAGAAGCCTATTGAATTTCAGCAATTTCCGTTAATTACATCTAGAGTTATGGCCCTTGTTTCACTTTGTTGAATGTTGTGAACGCTCTAATGACAACAGTTATCATCCGATCTGTTTGAAATTGATATGCATCATTTAGATTAGTGAAATGAAGAAGCCTATTGAATTTCAGCAATTTCCGTTAATCACGCCGTGAGTTATGGCCCTTGTTTCACTTTGTTGTACCTTTTAAATGCTCTAACGACAAAAGTTATTATCCGATCTGTATGAAATTTATATGTATCATTTAAATTAGTAAAACGAACAAGCCTATTGAGTTTCAGTTATCACCTCAATTAGTGAAATGAAGACGAACAAGCCTATTGAATGTCAGCAATTTCCATCAATTACGTCTAGAGTTATGGCCCTTGATTTACTTTGTTGAACTTTGTGAACTTTCGAACAACAAAAGTTATCATCCGATCTGTATAAAATTTATATGCATTATTTGAATAAGTAAAACGAAAAAAGCCTGTTGAATTTGAACAATTTCTGTAGATTGCTTCCAGAGTTACAGCCCTTGTTTTAGTTTTTAGAACCTTGTGAACCTTCAAACAACGAAAATTATAATGTCGTGTGTATGAAATTGTCTATTAAATACCCCTAATTACCTACAAAAGAATAAATATGTGACAACCCTTTTCGACTGCTCGGACGATTGAGCTGCTGTGGGTGTATGTTTTGTTGCCTGGCAACCATTCAAAATATGATCATAAATTCGAGAATTTTCTTCCAACAAGGACAACTTTGCTCTGAAAATTATAAACACGCTTCGAACGACGCAATTTTGATAACTTCTTTCTAAAACCGGCAAGTTCGTAGGTACATATCACTTACAGTTATGCAGCCGAAGCTAGATGTAGAGTAACGGAATCTTCTGAGGTTTTCCGAGTGCTGTAACAGCGAGCTAGCAATGTCTAGTAATTTTATGAATGTGTGTGTGTGTGAAATAGCTTTATTTAACGCTCGCTTCCACCGAAGTGATATCGCAGACGAATTATAATGACTGTCTATTGATCTGGGCGTTATACTCTTACAATATGTGATTTCTATGACTAGTTTATACATATTGTCGGCTCACATCATTGCAATTAAAATGTCCGACAATGCAGAAACCACAAGGTTAACATGAATATTAAAATTATAATGGATTGATGAATAGTCCGACAAAGGGGAAACAATGGCTTCTGTTTAAGATTAGATTGATGAATTGTCCGACAATGGATTAAATCAGTCAATCAAGGCAGATTAAGTAGTTAATCAATGTAGGTTTGTAGACGGTATAACACGATAAATATGTTGATCACTTAATTACCTAATCAGTCCAGCGTATTATCGACGATAATCTGGTTGAGTGGTAGCTATACACTCAGTAAACGATATTAATTTCTGAATTTTGAAAATTATTCAACATGTCTTGATGTCCGATTGGGCATATTCCAGGTTGGAAAATTTTGGGCGTTTGGAAAAAAGATTCAGACAAATCCGGAATATACGGGCAAAATCCCATCACTGGTCTGAAAACCTAATTACCTAATTTTTTTTAATTTTTTTTTTTTTTTTTTTAGCATGTTCATCTAATGTCTGACCCTTGTACCTTGACTATAAATAATATAGTGTTTGGTGTTACTTCCAGTGATATTCTATTTCATATAGGCCAGGAAGAAATTTCTTTGTAAGTTTAATCCTTATTTAGTTAAAAATGAATACAATCAACTTTAACCTTTTTCTCCTAATGGATTATAAGCTACATGATGTGAAAGACACTAAGGGTTCTGAATAGAAAATTGATAGCATCTTTTTATAATACAAAACATTTTAATAGAGAAAACTAGTTATCATATCTATATAAGATTATTTTGCTACAATTATAATTTATTTCAGTATCCCTGGTTCCAGGGATAGATTAGCCAGATTGGCCAAACATCTTCTCTTACAACAGAGGTAACACTACAGATTACTCTTTTATAAAAGCAAATATTGAATAAGATTTTCCAAAAGAATGTAATACCGTTGATCCAAATAGGAATTTTATATAATGATAACAACTGACTATTAAATTTTTTTTCTTAAGATGTAAATTTTTCAATCTAATTAAAACACAGATCCTATTTCGTTTCGTTTTTATAGTTCAAAATTTCGTTTTACTACACTAGGATCTGGAAGAGTTGTTATCATTGATGTGTTCTGAATGGTGTGAGGGATTAGCCAATGAAACGGCCAGCTTCAGACGTGTTTTGCATGGAACTGTGCGTAATCCACTAGTAATTACATCTGTGCTGAATGGTTAATCAAATATCTGATGTCATAGGGTCAAAAACCGCTCGTATGACCTCTGACACAACCTAACCCTACAACCGGTCAGATCTTCATTTAGTGTAGGCCATCGAAAGTGTAAAAAAAACGAAACGAAATGTAGATCTGTATTTTAATCAGATTGTAAACTTTTGTATTTTAATTCTAGTTTTTATCCACTGTACCCACCAGTTAAAGGTATCAATATAGACTATGACCAACTTGAGACATTTGGTAAAATGCTTGTCACTCCACATATTTTATTAGTACCATCAGATCTCAAATATTTCATAAAGGTATGTCCTCAATATTTCCTGATCTCTTAAAAACATAAATTATGCAAGAGCTAAATCTGCCTATTGCAGGTCTTTCTTTAGGCCTGAAATGTTATCTAAATTATTGATTAGACATTAATTAACTTAATTAATTATCTAAACCATAATCAACTCTCGATGGCATTGGATACTGGATATTTTAACTAGATTAGAACGGTTCGCCATTTAAAAATTTTATTTGAAAATGGGAAAGCTAGGCAAAGTCTCGGATATACCAGTGCCCTGGTTACCACAATGCACACATCTTGTCAAAACTGCAAACAGTGATAACTTGGCTCAGAATGAAGTAATTTGAATGTAAATTTTACATTATTTATTCTTGAGCTATTATTACCAGAATGGTCAGCTCTTTATCTAAATCTTACATAATGTATCTTTAACAAAGGATTTGTCAGATTAGACACGTTACTGACTTGATTTTTACTCCATCTGCCTTCATTTCGCAGTAAAGTTTTTGTGGCCTTCATGCCATAGGTTGTTGTTGATTTTCTTGTGTAAGTACATATCCAGCCTACTGCAATGCCATAAATAACAGCATATTGTCGTTGCCCCTGTCCGTCCGGACGTCCTTCCACAGTTGTTTGTGGACACTTTACAGGTCACAATTTTTATACGATTTCAACGAAACTTGAAATATAGGTTTATCTCTAAAAGATCTTGGTTCCTTTCGATATTGGCAAGTATTGGACCGTAACTTCATGGATTATGGCCCCTCATTGTAGGAAAAATCAAATTTTTAGCTTGTGGACCCTTCAGAGGTCATAATTTTTATTTGATTTAAAAAAAAAAACGTTTAGTATATCATCAGGTTTTATACGCCTACATTTTCATGTGGACGTATATTGTCGTCGCCCCTGTTCTTCCGTCCACAATTGTTTGTGATCACTACCGGTCACAATTTTTATCCGATTTCAATGAAACTTGAAATATAGGTTCCTTTCGATATTGGCATGTATCGGACTATAACTTCATGGATTATGGCCCCTGATTGTATGAAAAATCACATTTTTAGCTTATAAACACTGTAGAGGTCACAATTTTTATCCGATTTGGTTTAAACTTGAAATGTATGTTTATAACCCACAGATCTCAGTTCCTTTCGATATTCGCGCATACCGGATCATAACTTCTTGTTTTATGGCCCCTGATTGTACGTAAAATCGCGTTTTTAGCTTGTGGACCCCATAGAGGTCACAATTTTTATTATACGCCCACATTTTGTCGTCGCCCCTGTTTGTCCGTCCGTCCACAATTTGTTTGTAGACAGTCTACAGGTCACAATTTTTATCTGATTTCAACGAAACTTGAAATATAGCTTTATGTCCCTAAGATGTGTCGGACCATAACTTCATGGATTATGGCCCAAGATTGTACGAAAAATCACGTTTTTAGCTTGTGGACACTCTAGAGGTCACAATTTTGATCCAATTTGAAATGCATGTTTATAACCCAAAGATCTTGGTTCCTTTCGATATTCGCGCATATCGGATCGTAACTTCCTGAATTATGGCCCTGGATTGTACAAAAAATCATGTTTTTGTCCTCAGCCTTTCGAAGAAAGCAGGGGACTATAAAAATGGGTTCGTCCGTCTGTCTGTCTGTCTGTTCGGACGTCCGTGTAGACATATTGTCGTCGCCCCTGTTTGTCCGTCGTCCACAATTTGTTTGTAGACAGTCTACAGGTCACAATTTTTATCTGATTTCAACGAAACTTGAAATATAGCTTATGTCCCTAAGATGTGTCGGACCATAACTTCATGGATTATGGCCCAAGATTGTACGAAAAATCACGTTTTTAGCTTGTGGACACTCTATAGAGGTCACAATTTTGATCCAATTTGAAATGCATGTTTATCTTGGTTCCTTTCGATATTCGCGCATATCGGATCGTAACTTCCTGAATTATGGCCCTGGATTGTACAAAAAATCATATTTTTGTCCCCCGCCTTTCGAAGAAAGCAGGGGACTATAAAAATGGGTTCGTCCGTCTGTCTGTCTGTTCGTCCGTCCGTTACACTTTTTGGGACACAATAACTCTCCTTCTAATTGACCTAGAATGTTCAAACTTGGTGTAGGTGTTTATTAGGTCAATGCCTTGATGGAGTTCGAAGATGAGCATTTTCGGCTTAGGGTAAGCAGAGATAAGCAATTTGATTGGTTGATGTTTTGGGACACGATAACTTTAGTTCTAATTAAGTGAGAGAGATGAAACTTGGTGTATAGTTTCATTACATCAATACCTTGACTAAGTTCGATAATGAGCATTTTCTGCTCAGGGTGAGTAGAGCGATAAGCAATTTGATTGGCCAAGACTTTGGAACACAATAACCCTCCTTCTAATTGAGCTAGAATGTTCAAACTTGGTGTAGGTGTTTATTAGGTCAATACCTTGATGGAGTGTGAAGATAAGCATTTTCTGCTTAGGATAAGCAATTTGATTGGTTGATGCTTTGGGACATGATAACTTTAGTTCCAATTAAGTGAGAGTGATGAAACTTGGTGTATAGTTTCATTACATCAATACCTTGACTAAGTTCGATGATGAGCATTTTTTGCTCAGGGTAAGCAGGGCGATAAGCAATTTGATTGGCCGAGACTTTGGAACACAATAACCCTCCTTCTAATTGAGCTAGAATGTTCAAACTTGGTGTAGGTGTTTACTGGGTCAATGCCTTGATGGAGTGTGAAAATAAGCATTTTCTGCTTAGGGTAAGCAAAGATAAGCAATTTGATTGGTTAATGCTTTGGGACACGATAACTTTAGTTCCAATTAAGTGAGAGTGATGAAACTTGGTGTATAGTTTCATTACATCAATACCTTGACTAAGTTCAACTGAATTCAACAACTCTTCTTCTAATTGAGGTAGAATGTTTAAGCTTGATGTAGATGTTCGTCTTGACTGAGTTCAATGATTAACATATCGAGCTAAAGCTAAGCAGAGATAAGGAATTTCCTGCTTTGGGACAAAATAACTTTGATTCTATCTGATAGAGAGTGATGAAACTGAGTGTATAGTTGATAATCAGTTTGATTGCTTGATACTTTGGAAAAAAATAGATGTGCGATTAATTAATATGTGTCATCTATTTCGTGAAAATAAGACCAAAACTGACGGACAAAATGGTCGCCACTTGTAAGCGAATAGCGTAAAAATATGGTATATCAAGGTTGTGGACCCTGTAGAGGTCACAATTTTAATCCGATTTTGATGAAACTTGAATTGCATGTTTATAACCCAAAGATCTTGGTTCCTTTCGATATTTGCGCTGTCGAATCGTAACTTCCTGAATTACGGCCCCTGATAGTATGAAAAATCACCTTCTTTTTTTTTTAGCTTGTGGTCCCTCTGGAGGTTACAATTATTATCAGATTTAAAAAAAACGTTTGATTATATCACTGTTACATCGTAATGAAGGTTGAGTTCGAATGTCATGAAAATCGGACCAAAACTGCCAGACAAAATGGCTGCCGCTTGTACGCGAAAAGTGTAAAAAAAATGGTGTATCAAGGTTGTGAACCCTGTAGAGGTCACAATTTTAATCTGAGTTTGATGAAACTTAAAATGCATGTTTATTACCCAAAAATCTTGGTTCCTTTCAAGATTTGCGCATATCGGATCATTACTTTCTGAATTATAGCCCCTGATTGTACGAAAAATCACCTGTTTTCGCTTGTGGTCCCTCTGAAGGTCACAATTATTATCCGATATCAAAAAACGTTTGATTATATCACCGTTACACCGTAATGAAGGTTGAGTTCGAATTTTCGGAAAATCGAAATGAAACTGCCGATAAAATGCATGTTTATTACCCAAATATCTTGGTTCCTTTCTATTTTCGTGCATATCGAATCGTATCTTCCTGAATTATGGCCACTGATTGAAAGAAAAATTGCGTTTTTAGCTTGTGGTCCCTCTAGAGGTCACAATTATTATCCGTTTTAAAAAAACCTTCGAATATATCACCTTACACCGTAATTTTGTCTGAGGTTGAGTTTCATGAAAATCAGACATAATGGCCGCCCCTCGTACCCAAATAGTGTAAACATCTGGTATATCAAAGTTGAATAATGGACAGAAAATCGCGTTTTTAGCTTGTGGTTCCTCTAGAGGTCACAATTTTATCCGATTTCAATGAAACTTAAAATATAGGTTTATCACACCAAGATCTTGGTTCCTTTCGATATTGGCATGTATTGGCTTGTGGACCCTATAGAAGTCATAATTTTTATCCGATTTAAAAAAACGTATTATTATATCACCGTTACACCCTAAGGACGACTGAGTTCCAATTTCTTGAAAATCGGCCCAAAACGGACAGACAAAATGGCCGCCGTTCGTTCTCAAATAGCGTAAAAATATAGTATATCAAGGTAGTGGACACTATAGAGGTCACAATTTTTATCCGATTTGGTTGAAACTTGAAATATAAGTTAATAACCCAAAGATCTTGGTTCCTTTCGTTATTCGCGTATATCAAACCGTAACTTCTTGAATTATGGCCCCTGATTGTATGAAAAATCACGTTTTTAGCTTGTGGACCCTATAGAGGTCATAATTTTTATCTGATTTAAAAAAACGGATTATTATATCACCGTTACACCCTAAGGACGACTGAGTTCGAATTTCATGAAAATCGGCCCAAAACTGACAGACAAAATGGCCGTTCGTTCTCAAATAGCGTAAAAATATGGTATATCAAGGTTGTGGACGCTATAGAGGTCACAATTTTTATCCGATTTTGTTGAAACTTCAAATGTAAGTTTATAACCCAAAGATCTTGGTTCCTTTCGATATTCGCGCATTATAGGACCATAACTTCCTGAATTATTGCCCCTGATTGTATGAAAAATCACGTTTTTAGCTTGTGGACCTTATATAGGTCATAATTTTTATCCGATTTAAAAAATCGTATTATTATATCACCGTTACACCCTTAGGACGGCTGAGTTCGATTTTCGTGAAAATCGGCCCAAAACTGACAGTTAAAATGGCCGCCCTTTGTTCTCAAATAGCGTAAAAATATGGTATATCAAGGTTGTGGACCCTATAGAGGTCACAATTTTGTTTTAGCTTGTTTTCTATCCATTTCTCGTAAATGTGGGCGTATCCTGCCTGGCAGCCGCTGGTTAATTATTCCAGAGTTATGGCCCTTGTTTCACTTGTGAATGCTCCAATGCCAATATTTTCATCCAATCTGTATGAAATTTATATGTATCAATTAGATTAGTGAAACAACTGTCATTCAGTTTTGACAGTCATGTATTTCAACGCACATAATTGTTTAGAAATTACAATAATTTTTTTTTGAAAAATTGAATATAAATCACTTTATATACATTAATGTGTGCTTTTAGACACATTTACGTCTATTTTTAGGTTTCAAAGAATAGAGCACACACACCCTTTAATATGTTATTTCAATCAACTAGAGGAGTTTTTTGTTTTTTTATACAGGATATTGATGGTTGCTGTGTAGTCAATCCAGGACGTTTAGCCAAGGGACAAATAGGAGGAACTTACAGTCGCATGGTTATTAAAACTGATAGTGCTGTGTCTGGATCAATCATCAAATCAATATCTGCACAAGTTGTTAGAATTTAATACATTCATTGCATTGTTGACTTTGGTCAGATGACTGTTGTAAATATTTTTCATGTAAAAATGTAATAAAATATAACAAGCGGTTGCCCTGCAAGATATATGCCCACATTTTGCAACAGGGTTCCCGCGGTCCTTGAAAATCCTTGAATATCCTTAAATTTAAAATTTCATTTTCAAGGTCTTGAATATCCTTGAATTTCGCGGAAATAGGAAAATATCCTTGAATTTCAGTTGAGATCCGTAATTCTGTTTCAAATGTCTTGAATTCCTTTTAAATATGAGATTATAACGATAGTTGGTAATGTTTTGGTTATTTTTATAAGATGAAAAATTGTAACTTTAGGCTAAAAAATGTCCTTGAAAATCCTTGAATTTGACGTATATTTATCCTTGAATATCCTTGAAAAAATGTTTGACGAAGCCGCGGGAACCCTGTGCAAGAGATGGACAGAGAACAAGCTACGATCAGAGGCCATAATCCAGGAAGCTATGGTCCAATACACGCAAATATCGAAAGGAACCGAGATATGTGGGATGTAAACATATATTTTAAGTTTCATCAAAATCGGATAAAAATTGTGACCTCTAGAGGGTCTACAACCATGGTATTACATACTTTTTTGTCCGGCAGTTTTGGTTCGATTTTCACAAAATTCGAACTCAACCTTCATTAGGGTGTAACGGATATATATTTAACGGTTTTTATATGCCCACATTGAAATGTGGTCATATATTGTCATCGCCCCAGTCTGTCTATGGACGCTCTAGAGGCTAAAGTTAATATTCGATTTACTTTAGATTTATACACAGTGTTTTAGCTCATGAGATGAAGAAGCCTATTGATTTTCACCAATTTCCAATAATTTCTTCCAGAGTTATGGCCCTTGATCAATTTTTAAAAAATCTTGAGGACGCTCTAGAGGCTAAAGTTAATATCTGTTTGACTTTAAATTTATATACAAGTGTTTAAGATCATGAGACGAGGAGGCCTACTGATTTTCAACAATTTCCTATGATTATTGCCAGAGTTATTGCCTTGGATCACCTTGATTGACGTATCTTGTGGACACTCTAGAGGTTCAAGTTAATATCTGATTGACTATAAATTTATGCAGTGTTTAGTTTAAGGTTATAAGATGAAGCCTATTGATTTTCAGCAATTTCTGATAATTACTGCCAGAGTTATGACCCTTGATCACTTTGAAAGTTAATATCTGTTTGACTTTAAATTTATATACAGTGTTTAAGATCATGAGACGAGGAGGCCTACTGATTTTCAACAATTTCCTATGATTATTGCCAGAGTTATTGCCTTTGATCACCTTGATTGACATATCTTGTGGACACTCTAGAGGTTCAAGTTAATATCTGATTGACTATAAATTTATGCAGTGTTTAGTTTAAGGTTATAAGACGAAGCCTATTGATTTTCAGCAATTTCTGATAATTACTGCCAGAGTTATGACCCTTGATCACTTTGAAAAATCTTGTGGCGCTCTAGAGGTTAAAGTTAATATCCGATTGATTTTAAATTTATACACGAAGAAGCCTATTGATTTTCAGCGATTTCAGATAATTACTGCCTTAGTTATGGCCCTTGATCACTTAAATAAAAAACTTGTGGACGTTCTAAAGGCTAAAGTTAATATCTGATTGACTTTAAATTTATACGCAGTGTTTGAGGTCATTTTCAACGATTTCCGATAATTACTGTCAAAGTTATGGCCCTTGATCATTTTGAAAAATCTTGTGACGCTCTAGAGGCTTATGTTATCATCCGATTGACTTCAGATTTATACACAGAGTTTAAGGTCTTGTGACCAATGCTGGAAATAACTTTCGAATGTGTGTCTGACGCCATGTCAGACTGGATGAACATTCTGCCTGACATTTAAAATTTTGGGTCGACATAATATTCTGACATTTGGGTTGGCACAATGTCTATCAAGATCTATTCTGTTGACTAATGTCTTTTGCGATCTACATGAAGTGAGCCAGGGCAATTTTGCTTAGTTTTCGTTTGTTCGAAGAAATTTTGTCACGGATATAAAATGTTACCCGTTAAATTGCCTTGAATGTCATGATACTTGGGGTAGATACATGTCGTTCGGGAAATGCAGGGTGCTATTTTATCTCAGGAATCGAACACGAACACGATGTTTTAGGAATGAATAATTGGGTCATGCTTCCTGCTAATTTAAAATACACACCACCCATTGAGAACTTAACTATTTGTTGTATGATTAAATAAAGTATGATCGAGACTTTGAGTTATTGCTCATTACAAGATAAATCCACAATTTCATCGGCACCCATCATCCGATAATATAGCTTCCTGTCTTTGACAATGTTGACCTAATCATGCGACAATTTCCCGCCTTTTCTATAAAGGGTTGAAAATAGATCTTCTTTTAGGAACTTAGTTGTTTGTTGTATTATTAATTGATAGAGTATTAGTTAGATTATCAGTTAAACATACATTATGCAAGAGCTAAATCTGATTATTGCAGGTCTTTATTTAGGCTTCAGATGTCATAGAAATTATAAATTAGATTTTTATTTACACAACAAGCACAAAATCAACTCTGTAGACCCACGTATGGCTTGGATTTAAACAGGATTTCATTGATTGATTACATTTTTAAATGGCGTCGTAAGCGGAGATTAACCGTTACGTTGACGTCATACTCCCGGAAATTTTAGATCGAGGATAAATGATAGAGTGTACGAAGAGGCCACATGTCAGTCAATTTGATTGAAAGTTCGATACATACGGCCTTGATATTATGTTTAGTTGTGGTTAAAATGAGAGTTTGGATGTCGGTATTATACGCTCTTTTGTCACTTGCGTTTACAAAAAATTATGGAAATTGATAAACATCGCAGCTAACATCACCCCAGTTGAAATGAAATGGGGTTTAACGTCCTACTGTTCTGCTCCTATACTGGGGTAATGAAGACGGGCATACGCCATACAGTGTGCTATGAGGGAAATTTTGCCCGGGCAGCGGCACTATCGCCTACTCTTATATCGAATTCCAACTGCCAAGGGATCTTTTACGTGCATTCCAATGTTTACACGGGACCTCGGTTTTTCGTTTCATCCGAAGGACTAGACAGCTGTCCTTGTCAGGCTAGCAAGCCAGCGCCTTACCCACCTAGCCACCATGGTTCCCACCCCAGTTGAATTGCAGCCCCATTGGATCACTGTTTCCTATTTATTTGTCTGCTTCGGCAGTTACGTAGGCCTACCAGTTACAGTGCAAGAGTACACGCAGGCTAACAAATAGAAGTCGGCTATAATTCTATCATCACTATGGTTACGTCACTTCGTGTCATGTGAGAAGACATGCGCAGATAGGGTCAGTTCAGAAGATGCCGCTGAACAAATAATGTGTCGAAATTTTCACTGTAAAAACTTTTATCTTTTATCAGAACAAAATCTAAAGTACAGACCCTGTACATAGATTTATATATTGACTATATATTATAGACAATATAGATTATAAATTAAGACAGCTAATCTTTTCAGAACCTCTGAAAATGCCGAAAGAGTACGGGAAATTGCTACATAAAAAATCGGCGACAACTTCGCCATTACTACAGGCACCGGTGTGACAGTTTGAGATGGTTCCTGGTGTGTGTTTAGCGCATGCGCAGTTGTAGGAGTCAACTCACACCGTTATGGACAGTGTGTGTTTACTCCCCGTGATAGAATTACCCCTAAGATTTTCTTATGGTCAAATCTGTTTCTACTATTATCTACCAATAGATATTATCTACCAACAGTAATACTACTGGCAGCCGAAGCTGCTTACTGTTTTTAGAATATGATTTTGCAATCTTTCCATTTTCGGACTTGGGCCATGGATTGGGTTTTGTGGGAAGTTCTTCCCTTTATTTAGTAAAAAAAACATATCGTTTGGTAGATGTTTTCTTCTGCTTCTGGATTTTTTTTGATTTTTTTTTAATATGCCTTTATTTATTTACAAATATATACATGTATACAAAATTAAAATAAGTACAATTAACAACATGCATGGACAAACATATAATAATACATTTTATATTTTTTTTTTTATATATAGCTATTTAGCTATTTTTCCCAAAAGTTTATATACAAATCAAACAGATATACAACTGTACATTATCTATTACCAGATATATGATATACAAATATACAATATTTTTTCATAGAAAATAATTTATTATAATATTGGAATTTTGAAACACTACCAACACTGGATTGGTAGATGTCATCGTTGTGGGATTTGTGTTTAGGTGCCAGGCCCGTCTTATCGTGACCTCCCTTACTCCCCTATCCCACTCTGTAGGTTTGATGTCTATTTTTTGCCGGAATAGTGTTAAGATGCCGAGTCCTTTTTTTTTTTTTTTTTCTTTTTTTTAAATCCTTTTATTATATACAAATTATTGAATATATAACAATTACAAATATATAATAAGTTCTAATATATAATAAGTACAAGTATATAATAAATATCCACTATCCTGCCAGTTTGGTATAAATCCCCTATGTAGTTTAGATGCCGAGCCCGTCTGTGATAAATGAAGCCACGAGAATATCAAAGGTCTTAATCGGAGGTGAATTAATTGACAATTTCAAGCCAGTCATCAATTTGTATTGTTTCCACTGATTGTACGTGTGTGTATAACGACTAATCACTAAAAAAAACAACGGCAACAAATCAAGTTTCAAGTTTTTTTATTCTTTGAGTCACGAACGATAGAACTATCAATTTCAAGCCAATCAACTAAGATCCGTTGATCGTGTAACTAAAACAACAGCTAATCACGATAACAAGTATGTTTATTAATGACAAAACTCACTGATCAATGATCAGGAACCATTTCACAATGGCGGAAGTAGATATAGCTGCGTTGTTAACGTAAACAACAGTCTCGGACATGCGCAAGTGCCCAGGAGCAAACACACACCAGGAACCATCTCAAACTGTCACACCGGCTTCATCGAAGTCGAAGAAAACATCAACTCAATGCCAACCCGGCAATTATGATGGTCAACCTGACATTAATAAAACTACAAATTGTGACCTGTTAGGATCAAATATATTTGATTCCTTTGTTGCCAGCAATGTTGTAATTGACCAACCTGGTTTTAACATTGAATCTACAGTCGTAGACAATGCTAGGCCTATAGCTAATAATAGTAACACGACATGTGAAGCTAATAATAGTAACATTCCAGGCACTAGTGAACCTTCCACTTATTTTACTGTAGTCGAGTCATTACAGTTTTTGCCGGTAATGATGAATTTGAAGATAAAATGAATTTGATGTCACAGCATATTGCTAACTTGGGCAAAAATATGGGTATTCAGACCCACGAATCTTCGTCCTCCACCAGTTAAAAAACCAAAAAGGCAGGCACATACAATATCAGACTCGGATATATCTTCCTATGATGATGATGATCAGTCAGTGGCCTGTTCCTCTACAAGGAAACGTAAGTGGTATAAACATCAAGTGAGGATGATGCTATGGTTCTCATCAAACCTGTCACTGGTACCACTGCTACTGCTATTAATATCGACGAAAGGGATGACATCCTTAAAAAATACGAGGATGACAATTATGAAGATGAATCAACTGGTCCACTTTTAAATAGGGGATCACGGTGGCTAAGTGGGTAAGGTGCTGGCTCGCTAGCCTGGAGGTCGGGTGTTCGATCCCTGCATTGGCCGAGAAAGTTCATCCAGATTTTCCGGCGTGGTTCCCCCTTGTCAGTGATGCAGGACGGAGGGCCTGACAAGGACGGCTGTCTAGTCATTCGGATGAGACGAAAAACCGAGGCCCCGTGTACACATTGGCGTGCACGTAAAAGATCCCTTGACAATTGGAATTCGATATAAGAGTAGGCCGTAGTGCCGCTGTCCGGGCAAAATTACCCTCATAGCACACTGTATGGCGTATGCCCGTCTTCATTAGCCCAGTTCGGAGCAAAACAGTAGGACGTTAAACCCTATTTCATTCATTCATTCCACCTTTAAATAGCGATCGACTATCAGCTATCATCACAAAACGAAATACAAGTCGATTTGGTGATATACATTTCAAAGAAAAACTTGAAAAATATCCCAGGCCAGAAAACTGCCCTAATTTATCTTCACCAATTGTAAATCCTGAAATATGGCAAAAACTCTCTAACCCAGTTAAGAGACAAGACATTAGATTATCTAATATCCAAAAAAAAAACATTGTTAAGGCAGCAGTTGCAATTAGTCAGACAGTCGATAATGAAATAAATTCTACAAATGTTCCAAAAATCGACATTGCGCCTTAATGGATGCTATCGGCCTATTAGGCCATGCAAGCCAAGAAATCTCTTACAAACGAAGAGACCTTATAAAACCTTCTCTCCATAGAGACTTTTCCACTTTGTGCTCAAGTCGTGTTCCAATAACAAAAAACTTATTTGGTGACGACCTAAACCAGTCTCTTAAAAACATTAAGGAAACCAACAGACTAGGAGCATCTGTTTCCAAGAAGGAAATACAGCACAGGTCACAACATAGCCAGCCGTTAAACAGAACTTCATACAGAAGTTACAATAACAACAATAACAGAGGTTCTTTTTTAGGCAAAAGATCATACAACTACAGAGCTCGGTCACGTCCTTCAGAGACTCAAACAAAAAGCTCATCATACAAGAAAAGGTTCAACCAAAATCAAAAATAGACAGTTGTTTACAAACTAACACATTTAATGTGAGTAAACGTATTGCTCATGATAACAATGAAATAGATTTATTTGTCAAATCATTATATTTAGAACAAAAAGTTAGTTCTTTTCAAGCAGGTTGTCTTGCTAACTATTTACCTGTATGGAAACAGTTGACATCTGATGAAGAAATACTCGACATGATTGAGGGTGTTTCCATTATGTTTCAGTCAATACTACCTTTTCAAAAATCTAAACCTCATAATGTATTTAGTGAAGATCAGATTTCGATTGTTGACTCAGAAATTACTACTTTGATATCAAAGAGTGTTCTTAAGAAAACTTCAAAGGAGCCTAATGATTATATTTCTCCTATATTTTTGAAGCCCAAACCAGACGGATACAGAATGATTCTAAATTTAAAATGTTTGAATAAACATATAGAATATATCCATTTTAAAATGGATTCTCTACAATCTGTTCTAAGATTAATAGAACCTGATTGTTTTATGGCTTCAATTGATTTAAAGGATGCCTATTACTCTGTTAAAGTTGCAGAGAAATC